ATGGAGGTAATACAATAGAGGGGTCTTGACATTGATAACTATTATGGCTAAATCATGAGGATTCTTGGATCTTGCTCTTAATCTCTAAGTGCTGAGAATATTTACATATTTATAGGCAGCCAAATGGCATGATCAGATTTTCACGTGGAAGATTATAACTTTGGCAATGAGGGTACAGTGGTCTGGGGTAACAAAACATCAAAGACGAAGACAAAAAACATCATTGGTGATTAGTTTGGGTGAGATCATGAGAAGATGAACGTTAATAACAGGAGTGAATACGTTTTGGAAGACATTGCAAAACACAATATAAAATAATGTGTTCCTGAAGAAATAAGTTTTTAGTAGTGATTCATTCCCAATAACATGTTTTGGAAGAAAAGAATACATTTGAGAGAAAATATTCATTTTGAAAATATTGTTAATACTAAATGGAGACATTTGAAAGTACTTGTTAGATGTCCGCATGTGTTAGGCAATGAGTAAAGCCTGTGCCTGCAATGCTGGCATCCCACATGGACGCTGCTCTAAGTCCTGGTTGTCCCATTTCTTCTTCCCACTCCCTGCCAATGATCCTGGAAAAGCAGTGGTGAATGGCCTGTTTGGGCTCCTACACTCATGTGGAAAAACTCCTAACTGCTGGCTTCGCACTGGCCCAGATAGCGTTGGTGTGACCATTTGGGGACTGAACCAGCAAAAGAAAAATCTCTCCTTCTCTTTCACTCTCTCTCTGTAGTTCTGACTTTCAAATAAATATTTTTAATTGTTAAATAAGGATTAATAAGTGAATTATTCCTGTAAAGCAGAAGTAATCGTTTTAAAATACGTCAGGACATTCTATTTGTAAAAATCCAATGGATTTATTTTCCTTCAAGTTCATACTAGAATGTTTTGTTATTGCTTTAGAGTTTTACATAGTAACATTTTACTCATCTTTAATTTATTCAGAAGGTCAGAAGAGAGGGAAGGAGGTGGTAGGAGAGAGAAAAGAGAGAGGGGTGGGGAGAGAGGAGAGAGAGAGAGATTGAGAGATAGACTACAAGGAAGGTTTTCTATCTACTGGTTAACTTCTTGAACACCTGGAATAGGCAGCAGCAGGGTCAGGTCAAAGCCAGGAGCCAGGAACTCCATCCTGGTCTCCCTCGTGGGGGGCAAGGGCCCTAGTACTTGGGTAACCCTCTCTTGCTTTCTTGGGCGCATTGGCGGAGAGCTGGAAAGTGAAGCACCTGAAACTTGAAACAGCACTCCAATATAGGACGCCAGAGTTACAAGCAGCAGTTTATACTACAGGCTCAACTTTTTTTCCCCTGCAATGCAATTACTTACAGTAGATTTTGAAATTGATTAAGATTAATTTTTAGGCCCAGTATAAAGGAAAACAAAAGGCTGACTACCAACTATTTAATTACTTCCTATGCTTGGCAAACTTGCTGCCCTTTATTCCATAATTAAGAGAAGACCTGAGCTAAACAAAAGTGTGTGATGGTGTATCCCGAATACTAAAAAGCATCCTCAGAGAATATTCTGCGAGCTAAGGTCTTTCACCATTTCAGAGTGGAAAAACGACAAACTTTCATATAGGTGAAGAAAGCTTCACAATCTTACAGTTTGGCAACTCAAAAGGACAGGGGTCAATTTCTGTGTTAGCGCTAGCAGAAACGGCCCACCTATGGGGGCTGAGCGCACCCTTGATCAGGAGATTGGAACCATCTGAGTTCTAAGGGTGGCTGCTAGGATGAAGGCGGCACAAAGTGGGAGAACAGTCTATTGAATGGCAGACATTCTCTCCTGAGACATACAGAGCAAGTGTGCACCTCACAGTGAAAATGAGTTGTTGATCAGGAGAGAGGAGTGACAGGAGCGATGCTGGACAGATTACAACAAAAAGCTTAATCCCAGTCCATCTGTTTGGATTCAGATCACATTTTGTTTCCACAAATCTCCCAGTCTCACTGTAACTCTGCCTTTCAAATCAAATAAATAAATCTTTAACAAAAAAAAAAAAGAAAGAAAGAAATAGAAGATGAGTTTGGGTGCAAAAAAACACTTCTGAATCCATGCTTATTTTTCCTCACAATGTATACATTCTGTGCACTTGTACAGACTCTTCACACATTTTAATCATTAGCTGCTTGATAAAGGGGATAACATTGTTTATATTTCTATCACTTAAAATCATGTTGGGAACCTTTTGCGTTATGGAAAAAGTAGGATTAGAGACAGGTGTCAGTGGCTGCAGCAGAATCTGAAATAGAACCAACCTTTCTCAAAACCATTTCCCTCTCCATTCGTCCTTCACGCTAAGTGTCAGAAATGGAGCTCCTTTGTGCTTACCATATATGTAACTGTTTGGAAGACACTGGCAAAGCAAAATTATACATCGGAGCTGCTTGTGTTAAGATTGGGATTACCAGCAAAGTTAAACGATTTTCCAGGACGGTCCAATTTGCTGGTGTTTTCAGTCTTCTTCCAACTTTTGTTTAAACTGGCTTGCAGCACCTTCTTGGTTGAAAGTAAAAAGCAACTCTTGCATACTGTCAAGTCTGCTTTGTGGAGACAGTCTTCACGCAGGAACATCTGAAGTCACTTGGGATTGCACAGTGCCGCATTCATTCCACACTGCCGTCCCTGTTCTCTTCACTTGTCTGTTGAGTGTAGAAGACAGAAGAGCAGCCCACAAAGATATCCACGCCCTAGTTCCTGAAAATTGTGGACAGATTACCCAGGAAGAGGGAGTTGGGCTACGGGTGGATTGAAGATAGGTAATCAGCTGACCTGAGAGAGAGACTGGTGCCATCATCATGGCAGAGCAGGTAAAGTTAATGCTGTGACACTGGCATTCCATATGGGCACTGGTTCTTCCCTGTCTCCTCCACTTTTGATCCAGCTTCTTGCTAGTGGCCTGGCAAAAGCAGATAAAAAGGGTTCGAGTCTCTTGGTCCTGGCCACACATGTGGGGGACCTGGAAGAAGCTCCTGCTTCTGCCTATTGCAGCCTGCTTTAGCAATTCGGGAGTGAATGGCAGAGAAGATTGCCCTCTCTCTTTTAAACTCTGACTTTCAAATAATAAATTATTCATTTAAACACTAATTTGATTCACATGGTTGGCTTCATGTCATTAACACATCCTTCAGAATATAGAAGAGGGAGGCACGAGGGACAGTGATGGTGGTTTAGTATGAGGACTTGATGGTCATCGCTGACCGAAAGTGAAGGGAGCAAAGCCAGGAGGAGAGTCTGAAGACATGGGAAGGGAACGAAATTGTCCCCTAAAACCTCCAGAGAGGAACACAGCCCCGCCAGCCTCTTGCTCTTGGTCCAAGGAGAATGATTTTGGACTTTTGAACTTCAACACTTGGCGGGCGGTTGGGAGGAGATGTGTTTCTTCAAGCCACTGAGTTTTCTGGTAGTTCTTATCAGAGCAGCACAAAATGAATACAGTGAACTCTCAAATGCGTCTATTTTCTCCTTCGCTCAGACTTCAAAGTTGGGCATATTCATTTTTAGCGTAACTCTTGAAGTAATTAAGGCAAATTCAGAATCAAGCTCTTGTGAAAATAATTCCTACACTTACACATTATTCTTGGAGTTAAGATTTGTTTTTTTCCAAATTAATATGATGCTTAAGTTCTCAATCTATAAGTACAGAAGCGGTTCAAAGTCAAGAAAACAAGTGCCAGATGCATTTTTATTCGAGAGGACCAGAGACACAGAGCTCTCATGCTGGTTTGCCATTCTAAACGGTCCCAGTGGCAGGGGCCAGCTGCTGGGGACCCGATCCTGTTCTCCAGTGCGAAAGGCAGGGACCCAGGATTACCTGCTGGAGCAGAGCTCAGTTTGAACCAGGAACCCCATGTCGGAAGTGGGTTCCTAACTGGTATCCTAAATACTGAGCCCGCTCTGCCCTCTGAAGTACCTTTGAAGACACCCTGGAGCCAGGTGCTCAGTTAGAGCACTGCCCTTCATTAGCCCCCACTGTTCAGCAAACGAACTCCTTTAAGACTGCACTTCCTCATTCGGAAAATGAGAATAAAAATTCCGAATGTATACAGCAGGTTTGTGGGAAACTACTGTAAAAAAAATACGTATCTGTAAAATGTATACATATTTACATATCTTTCGCCATGGCTACCGGCATATAAATAAATGTGCCACATGATCCTGTTAGTCACTTTTATTGCTATCACCGTTGCACTAGCTTTCCAATTTTGAATACTTCTCCTCCAACACAAAGTACAGCCTCCAAAATCCTTGCTGAGCTGGCCCACTGCACATTTCATAATAAGCAGTCTGAAAATAGCCTCTCCCTAAGCAATCCTTAATCTTGAATCAACAAATCTCTTATTTATCAAATATTCACTTACTAAACGAATGGCTAAATTGTTTCACAAAAAAAAAAAAAAAAGAGGAGGGAAGACGCTGGTTTACCTATAGATCTAATTAAACATTATTATTATTATCGTTATTCTCCTTTCCCCTAAAGGCTGGGTGGAGTGGATTGTTTGCTCGGAACCCAGTGAACTTTTTTCCTGCGTGGGCTCAGCACTGAAGCAGCTCTGGGGCCGTCTGCAGCCCTTGAGGTGTCTGGCTAGTCCCGGGGAGGTACCAGGTGATCCCCAGCAGAGCGGGAGGCCAGGATCGGACTTGTCGCGCCTGGAGTGCAGCGTGAGTCGTGGCTGCAGGTTGCTAAGCTTGGTCCTGGGCACCTCACACACGCTCATGTGGCTTCCTCCCGTGCGCTCCCGGGACCCCTAAGCTAGAGGACGCGCTTGGTTTGACCCATCCAACTTCTGAGGCATTCACCGCACCCCAGCCGCGCTCCTGGGTCTTCCTCCCTCGCCTCTGCGGGCGTCTCGCCTCCCCGGGGCTCCGGAAGGGAAGGAGGCGTGTCCCGGAGCCGGCAGGAGGGCGCAGTATAAAAGCACTGGCGGCGCGGCGGCCCGGGCTTCACTCGCCGCCTCGAGCCGGGACCTGGAACGCCACGGGCTGCACTGGCCGAGGAGAGGGCGCTGTGCTCGGGCTACCCAATGCTTGGACTATCTGCCGCCGCTGCTCGTGCAATATGCTGGAGCTCCAGAACAGCTAAACGGAGTCGCCACACCGCTGCCTGGGCTGGATCGCAGCGCTGCCTTTCCTTATGAAGAAGACACAAGTAAGTAAGGCGTGCCGGGACGGCGCAGGCATTCCAAGAAAATCGTACCCGGAGCCTCCTTGGAGGCCAGTGCGCCCCGGAATCCACACCCGGGACAGGCCAGCTTGTGCCCGCCCTGGAAGCCAAGACGTGTGTAGGGGGGGAAGTCGGGCGTGTTGTTGGAGCCCCAAGCCTTCCACCCGGGTGAGCCCAGTAGGCGCGCAATGGGAGTGATGAGAGCGAGCCCGAGTCAAGTTTGCAGCCCTGGCAGCTAAGTTTGCAACTGTCAGTCGGAAACAGCGGTTCCAGTTGGATGGGACGCTCTTGACTCCTTGGCCTTGAAGTTATCCCTCGAAGGCTTGTCTGTGCCGGGAATCATTTTTCCCTTCTCTTCGGCAGGCGATTATGAAACACCTCTCCCATCCCCCGCCGCGCCACCCTCGGCTGGCTCTCGCACCCAGATTTATTTGTGCAGCTCGCAGGTGGGCGCGGGGCGCGGCGCCGCCTCGGGAGCGGAGCCAGCTCGGAGCTGCTGAGCGGCTCAGCTCGGCTCGGCGGGAGAGGAACCTGCCCAGCCCGCCCGGGAAACTTGGCTCCCGCCGGCGGCGCATTTGATTAGTTGGCAGCTCTGGGTGGGCTCTCCGGAGCGCTCCTGTAGAGCTGATATCTGCACAGTGCATGCATCTTCTATTACAAAGAAGAGAAAGTTTTTTTTTTTTTTAAATGGCATCTCTAATGATAGTTATTGAGATAATTCTCAGAGCTGCTAAATTGTGCATGATGCATAAAGCTCTGTGGGTGAAGCACTGCCCAGGGGTACAATTAGATTCCCCACCACCACCACCTTAAAGCAAAAATGTGGCTCGTTTAGAATGGGGCGCCACGGTGCAGTTTCTTTCTTCCTTTTTTTTTTTTTTTTTTTTCCTCTCCCAGTGGCTCTTCCCTCTTCTCACTTCCCTCCTTAGGAATGGCTCCGTGTTTTCTCCCACCGGTTGGCTAAGGCTGCCCTCTCACCCCCCAGAGGCTACGAGGAAGATTGCACTTCCTCAGATGTGTGGAAGAGGTGGGAAGTGGTGGTGGGGGGGGGAAGGATAGGGTATCGGAGACTTCTGCAAATAAGCCAGCTCAGAATGAAGGCGTCCCTGGACTGGACATGCTTTAATGAAGTCACCCGCTTACCAGTGCATTTTAAACCAGTGTCCAGATCTGAGAACGCGCACACCATGTGGAGTCCCTTACACGCATCGGTGTGGAAGGGAAGTTGCCGGACCAAATCAAAGGAGGCTGAGCCTTAATCTTTAAAGCCCCCAATCTCTGAGATCAGGGAAGCCGAGTGTCCCCCCTCCCCCATTCCCCACCCTCCCCGCCGCTTTCTGCCAGCGGGTCAGCTGGTGGAGCGCACCTGGGTCACCATGAAATGAAAATGTTAAAGATTTCTGCCGCAACAACAACAACAACAACAACAAAAAGTTGTATGTAATCTGTTTGATGTGGCCAAGCTTTCTGTTTTGTGGAATAATAGGCAAGGGTGGGGAACCTGTTTGTTTTGGTAGTAACACCTGCTCCCTGAGATCTGGATGGGGAAGTTGCTACCTTGTAATTCAGGAAAAGCACTTGGACCTTCCTAGTTAAACAAAACAGCAGGAGATAGATGAGGTTAATGTCCAACACTCCAAAGCAGGGCGATGTGCTATCAAGTCACTTTGCGAGTCTGTACATTGATGATCCTTGCACCGTGGCTTTGCAAAAATAAATGTGAGCTCTGTAATCGCCTCTCTCGCTTTGATTAAGTGGCTGTGTAAATAGGATTACATGGGACAATTCCATTGAAAACTAGAAAGAGGTCCATCTAGCCCGAAACGCTGTGGCTGTGGCCTGAGCGAATCCATGCTGCGAACCAGGAACATTGGAGACAGTTAAGTATTTTAGAAATGTGACCTGTTTGGACCAAGTTAAAGTGCAGGCCCTTTGGGGGAACTTGCTCATGTTAAAGGGCACGCTGGCCAGGAGGGCCATGCCCTTGTTGAATGAAGGCATTCATTGCCTAGACTGCAATGACCTTTAAAGTTTTCTTTAAAGATACTTCTAGCAATCCCACATTCCTGCTACTGAAACAGAGGACCCTGGAAGTAGCATAGAAATCAATAAAATAATCCATGGAGACAAAGGAGTCAACATTTTCTAATGCAAGAAGGTATAAGTAAATTTTCTGTGCAACTCTGTGTGAATGGAAAATAGCATAAGGAAACTGGGTAGTGAGATGGAGAATGAATCGCCTGGAGTCTAATGCTATCCTAGCCATGGTGGAATATCTACAAATGATCTACTAATGCTTAGCAGTCGAGATAGACTTTCATAGACATGGTAGTGGCCCCAATGCTCTATTATAAGGCAGTGCAACTAGTTCTGTACTCTCACATTGCCCTGTGTGTAGAAACAGAATGTACGAATAACATTAAAAAGCAACTACTTTCATTTGATTCACACAAGCTCTCCAAGAGTCCTGGGCGCACCAAGCATTTTGGCCTTTCAATCAATTTAAATAAGTGTGAAAATTCCACCAACAACCACTTGGGGTTTGATGAATGATTCTTTCATCTATTAAGCACATGTGAAGGACTTCACTATTTGGAAAATAATTCCATAGGCAATGACCATGAGGAGCAAGTTGGCCATCCTTTTCACCTCTAACATGGAGAAAAGAATGTTTTTCATTTTTTCAGATTTCTGTGAGTATTTTATGTATATTGTGTGGTATCTTTTTTTTTCTAAGGGGATTGAGGTGGTACCTTTGTAAGAACATCTCTTTCAATGTGTATACATTTTTAAAGCTGTATTTTAAACAGGATGCTCCATAGACTGCTCTGTTAAGTAACACCCGTTAAGATTTGGTTAAAAGTGCTGTCAAGTTAATATGACCAGTGCCAGGTTTATCCATGTGCTTACATTTTCATTTCAGGGCACAGTGTTAAGAGCTGCTCTATCAGCTGGCTATTTCAGAAACACAGAGACAGTAAAAGGTGCACCTTGCAAAGAACATAAAGAGTCCATTTTAGGCACACTAGCTTTCAGAAAAGCAGCAAATGGGCTCTCATTCTTCCAAGGAAAATACCCCTTTAAAAAATTATTATGAGGTGTTTTTTATGGGAATCAAGAGGCAAGTTATTTTATAGAAAGAAAATCAGCATATTAATGAAAAGAACATTTTAACATCTTGTCCTCAAGATCACTCCGTTTGGAATGTATGCTTTGAAAAATTCTAGTTTATGTAGTTTTTAATTGATACATTCTGCCAAGATGAAAACTCAAGTGCTAAGTTGATTACATGTAGCATAAAACAAGGAAAATAACCATATGGAAATCTGAAAGTCTGTGCCAAGCCAATTAAAATTGCCAAATTTTACTTATGTCTAACTGCTGATGTTAAGATAGCAAATGATGAGTCAAATTTGTTCTTTAATGAAAGGTGATGGAAATCTGTCTTTCCATCACCTTAAAATAATATTCAGGAAAAATCCCAGGCCAAAGAGCTGCTCTGAGACTCGAACAGGGTGCTGAGTTCCATTGCATTGTACCCTTCAAATGCTATGTGCTACAGCACCGAAACAGTGGTTAGTGGAAGGATTCTAGGCTCTCTCTCACCTCCTAAGACCGAGATTCTAATTTCTGCTTTGCCACTTACTTTAGGCAAATGGTTAAAGTCCTTGGAATTTCCCCTTTGTAATCTCTATGAAGCACAGTAGCTTCATGGAGTAGTAGCTTTGTAGTATGAATTTATTATTCCTGAGAATTGCATACCTGTTTTTTATAAGCCAGGGACAGAGTGGCTATCACAAATCAGTGATGTTCTAATAAGCAAAGGACAGGGTCCGAGTTTTTCTAATTCTGGATCCAAGGATTCCTGCCTCCCATTTGAGACTGCTGTTTGATTGTAGACTGTCATTAGCATATGTCAAACCAGGAGAATATGCAAAAATAGAGGGCTAGTTAGGCAAGGAAAAAGTTAAATTCTTTGAAGATTTTCTTGAGAGTGAGAAAGAGTCATAGAAAATAGACACGTTCTCTCCTCAATCTCTGGTTCAGCTTCCTATTTCCACACTCCTGCTTTCCATGTTCCCCCAGGATCACCGGGAGAGGGCTTGATCTATTGCGGACTAAAGAGGCTTGGTCAGCCTCCGCCCCTGGTACTCCGGCACTTGTTCCATTGAGGGAAGCCATGCATTCATCTGGGCAGCTCCCTTTGTTGTCCTTACCAGGCAACATGCAGTGACATTTGTTTTTCTCATTATGCAAGTTTGAGACTTCTTTTTTGCTTTTCTTCCTTTTCTCAATTATCTTAATGTTCCCTTTATAAATTAGGGTAAGGCATTTGAAAATAAATCTCCAAGGAGGGATCTTTTATCTCTCTTCTCTGGTACATGAATCATGGGCAGCGGCAGGAGTCTCTGTCTTTGGTCTTAGTCACCTATGTAGTCAGAACAATTTATAAAACGAATTGAGGGAACACTCAGATGCTTTTATAATCTACGCTGCTTTCAGCCTTGTTTTGGATAGACTTTGTTTCATGGAAACCCTTGACCATGGCCTTACTGATTTATAGGTGCACCAAGGCGTTTTGGCCTTTTTAACTTAATTATAGGTATCCTAGAAAAAAAAAAAAAAACTGTTTACAAGGCCCTGGGAGTTTGAGAAAATTATCATTATCCTTGCTCTACCTATTTTGTTCTGTCCAGAAGAGAAAGAAAGTAAGAAAAGAAGGAAAAGAGAAAAGAAAAGGAGGTTGAGGGGAAGGGGATTAGGCCTCAGGGTTCTGGTTTAAAAACCACAATGTGTCATCTCCAGGAAGACTGCTGGCATATAGCTCTCTTTGTCCTTTGGCTACATTTTACTGTTTTTTTTTCTAGATTGCCACCTTGGCTTGGCTGTTAGGAGACTGAATTCTTTTATGAACCTGGATACTAAGTTGTAGGACTTTGGAAAGTTATTTGGGAACTCTGAATCCCAGTGTGCTCAGTTTGAAA